AACAAGAGAGCCCTAGACTACAGGTGTGAAATGTAACAAGAGCCCTAGACTACAGGTGAGAAATGTAACAAGAGAGCCCTAGACTACAGGTGTGAAATGTAACAAGAGCCCTAGACTACAGGTGAGAAATGTAACAAGAGCCCTAGACTACAGGTGAGGGATGTAACAAGAGAGCCCTAGAATACAGGTGAGAAATGTAACAAGAGAGCCCTAGACTACAGGTGAGAAATGTAACAAGAGCCCTAGACTACAGGTGAGAAATGTAACAAGAGAGCCCTAGATTACAGGTGAGAAATGTAACAAGAGAGCCCTAGACTACAGGTGAGAAATGTAACAAGAGAGCCCTAGACTACAGGTGAGAGATGTAACAAGACGGATGAGCCGTACGGTAATCTGAGCGTGGGTCAGGCTGCACGACCGACGCCTAAAACATATTTGTACTCACCCCCACGTGACCCGCTGACAGGTAGTTAATGGCGCGCTGGTGCGCGTGCTGTGGTTAATGAAGACAAATGAGATTAAAGGATAAAGATAAGATGAGCGGATTAGTCTCAGCTTGTCCAGGTTAGGTGCCGATTAGAAATACTTTCGATTGGATGCAGGAGAAATTCAGGGGAAATCAATCAAGAGATTAATGATGGCTGGAGTTAGACTCGCTGAATACGTCAAGATTAGCCGGATTAAATTAGACGATCTAGACAAGAAGAAGTCAAGATAGACCGGATAAAATCAAATTTGACCGGCAGATGTAAGTCAGGCCATACCGGCAGATGTAAGTCAGGCCAGCCGGCAGTTGTAAGTCAGGCCAGCCGGCAGATGTAAGTTAGGCTAGCCGGCAGATGTAAGTCAGGCCAGCCGGCAGATGTAAGACAGGCCAGCCGGCAGATGTAAGTCAGGCCAGCCGGCAGATGTAAGTCAGACCGGCAGATGTAAGTCAGACCGGCAGATGTAAGTCAGACCGGCAGATGTAAGTCAGGCCAGCCGGCAGTTGTAAGTCAGGCCAGACCAGCAGATGTAAGTCAGACCAGCCGGCATTAAGTCAGACCCGCCGGCATATGTAAGTCATGCCAGCCGGCAGATGTAAGTCAGGCCGGCAGATGTAAGTCAGACCGGCCGGCAGATGTAAGTCAGACCGGCAGATGTAAGTCAGGCCGGCAGATGTAAGTCAGGCCGGTAGATGTAAGTCAGACCGGCAGATATAAGTCAGGCCAGACCGGCAGATGTAAGTCAGGCCAGACCGGTAGATGTAAGTCAGGCCGGCAGATGTAAGTCAGGCCAGCCGGCAGAAGTTACTCAGTCAAGAAACCAGTGCCCGCTTTGAGCAGTTGTTTCCTTTGCCCGAAAACGCCCTCGCTTAAAATAGGAAAAAAATATCGAACATATGGAAAAAACGGGTGTAAAGTTTCGTCTAACTAAACGGGTGTAAAGTTTCGTCTAATTACTGTTAGGATAATTATTAGGAATGTATAAGCTAACAGTTGTTTTTCGATGTACCAGGAGGAGGGTGGGGAGTGGGGGGGGGGGGGTCTCGAAATATAAGTGGCAAAAATTCTCAACATTTTTCGCAATCTGCACCGGCAGTTATGCGGAAGTAATTAGAGTTAAGTGATGTTTATTAACGCTGATAAGTTTATGGCATTTGGCGATATTTTCACCGGCTGTGCGCCACTGCTGAGTATCTGCAAACAATATATTTAAATTTTATTTTTAATCCAGAAAATATTTGCTAAATTCGGTATTTTGATCCAGAAAATATTTGCTAAATTCGGTATTTTTATTTAGAAAATATTTGCTAAATTCGGTATTTTGATCTAGAAAATGTTGACCAAGGTAAGTATTTTAATCAAAATAATGTTGACTAAGTTTAGTATCTGAATCCAGATAATATTTAAATGACGTAGAGTCGTATACAGATGTTTTTAGTTCTTGGAGGAACAACGAGTCGGATAGTCCACAGATTATGACATGCAAATGAAGTCTAATTTAAACTAAATCTTTACAAATCGTCACAAAAAGCTATAAGTCACATATGACGCCACAGTTCCCCCACTCCCTCACTCCCCCAAGCACACGTTAAATAAACATTACCGTAACGAAAATTATCATGTTTTTCATTATTTTAATTTTAAGAAATACCAACTTTCAAAGAAAAGCACCGGCCCTAAATACATGACGTCATTTAAGGACAGCTCCTTCCGCTTGCGCAATGTCAACAATGTGTTTTCATTTGTACTCACACCCCATATTAGCAGGCTAAATTTAGACCTGTTATTACAATGAACGTAAACATGTTGTGCTATCGTATGCCAAACCTATAAATAGTGACCGGTTAATGATGATTAAATATGTGGATGCTTCACGCAGGGTTAAAGGTTAAAGACGGTGGGTGTCTTAATTGCTTCGAGAATTTTTAATGAGCTCGAGTTTTTTTAAAGTGGGATTCTGGCCAAGTGCTTGGGGGATTTGATTCCGACATTTGAATTTGTTTGACGGTTATTTCACGTAATGAGGCAGCTAGAGCTTCTCAACGGTAAAGTACAGCAGAAATACCATCGCTTAGAGCTTAGAGAAATACCATCGCTTAGAGCTTAGAGAAATACAATCGCTTACAAAAAATACCTTCTGCTTGGGGAAATACCAATCCTTAGAGCTTACAGAAATACCATTGCTTACAGAAATACCATCATTTAGAGCTTACATAAATACCATCGCTTAGAGCTTACATAAATACCATCGCTTAGAGCTTACAGAAATACCATCGCTTAGAGCTTACAGAAATACCATCGCTTACAGCTTAGAGAAATACCATTGCTTAAAGCTTACAAAAAAAATAATCACTTAGAACCTACAAAAATACCATCACTTACAAAAAGTACCTTCTTCTTGGGTAGTTGCAATTATAAATGCTTTCTATTTATGGGAACTGAAACTTCGTTACTTCATAGCCGTCATCAGCATACACCCCCTCCCCCCTATCCCCCAGGCACGATAGGCGCCCCCACGAAATTTTAATTAATGTTAAGTGTTGAAGTCTTTAAAATTATTAAACATTCATCTTAATTAAAGTTAAAAAATAAATTAGCCATTAAGACAGTCCATTAGCTAGCATTTGTATATGTGTTTGGCACTACAAAACACTCGCCTCCCCCCCCCCCCCCCCCCCATTACATTACATTTCTCACATAACCAGAATTAGTTAACATTAACATATAATCACTGACCAGTTACATATGCACAGCTTACATGGGAGAAGGTCATTACCCCCTGTATTTTACCCCCCCCCCCCCACCATACCCAAAATCTGGAGTAGGACACAACACCCCCGCAACCTAACCCTAACTGTAGGTCAATGTTAGAAGAGGGTAGGATGAGAGTTAGGTTAGGGCTAGAGTTAGATCTAGAGTTAAGAAATTTTCTGGAAAGCACAAGAACATTCTACTCTTTGCCATTTCTATTGTTTGGCATTCGATAGAATGCCTAGTAATAAAATGAAATTATTTACTTAGTTTTCTGCCAGCCTATTTTAGGCATTATAGACAATGCCTACTTCCTCACTATGCCTATAACAAGAATAAAGTTGTCTAGAGAGAGGGAGGGGGGGGTAATTACCATGAGGGCAATTAACACACGGTGTTATTGACGGAAGGGGGTGGGGGGGGGGGAAAGGGTATGTAATGGAATTTCCGGAAGTGGGTGAAATTGCTAGTGGGGGGGGGGGGGTAGTGTCTTAGACCCAGCTAACATATCCCCGTAAGTAGTTTACACTAGGTAGGCCTACACCTACAACATACACATGTGTTGTTTACATATCCCATAAGTAGTTTACACTAGGTAGGCCTACAGCTACAACATACACATGTGTTGATTACATATCCCGTAAGTAGTTTACACTAGGTGCGCTTACACCTACATTGATCACATACACACGAGTTTCTTACACACCAGAACTAGTTCACATTACGGAAAAAGTTTCCAGACTTTTAAATTCTCTGGGTTTTTTTTCCTTATCTTGTGTCACCGTATCGCGTCCTAATGCGGTGTTCTCAAGTTTTCTTTCCGGCGTCTTACACATTTAATTTGGGTGACTAAGACGAGGGTTAAGAGTCCTCTTATTGGCCGTTTCGTATTTTCTTTTGAACTCTTGTTCGCTATGTTTTAACGACACTCGATTGGTATCGTTGTTTGCTTGTAAAAAACCCTCCATCCCGGCTCTATCACGATTCATCAGCATCCATACAAAAAAAATTCCTACTAGACCCATTTAGAAAAACACGCGCTTACATATTAATGCCTTGAATTAATATTTTAATAGTCAAACTCAGTGTAGAACTTGATAAATATTTTACACAGGGCCTAATTTTTTTTTATTAACGTAAGAAAGCGATTTGCATATATAATATATATCTTGGGGGTCGTCCATAAATGACGTCACACTCGTAGGGGGGGAGGGGTCCGTAATTTTGTGACGTTGTGTGATGAGAGGGAAGGGGGTCAGATTGTGTGACGTCACACTTTTGCATTATAAAAAAGCAATGTTAGAAAACAAGTTTAGCCGTTATTTCGCGTTTTAGAAAACTGTTTTAATAAATTGTAATAAGAATTGATTAAAATACTCTATGTTGAAAGTGTTCAGACAAGATTTTGGAAAAATGGAAAAATTCAACTGCAACTTTGAGGAGGGGTTGTAGGCTGAGGTGTGACGTCATTTTAGGGGGGGGGGTCTGGCTTTGTGTGACGGAGGGGAGGGGGGGGGGGTAAAAATCGTCCAAAAAATCGTGACGTCATTTATGTATGACCCCTTTATGCTAACCTTCAGATTCTCATTTCTTTATTATCTCCCTTCAATTTTTTAATGCTGTATCGCCAACGGTTGTATTAAAAATCAATGTAGACGGCAAATGATTTCTAACGAATTGGCTTACGTCAAGTTGAAATAACATAAGAACGGTGTTAGTTTTTTTTATTACAATTTTTGAAGCAAAACAAATAAATAAATGTACCTGAGCTTTCACCCCCAAACAGTTTTTCTTTCTGGACGAGCAGACATGTTTTTTTATACATCTGCCAAATTTGTTTAAACATTTGAAGTCGTCCTTCTGACAGCTGGGGCAATCGGGTTCCTCTATGAACGCGCATGCGCGACAGGAAGTGTGTTGACACTTGCCGTGACACTCGATCACTGTGTCTACAACATCACTGAGGAATAAGCGACACATTACAAAATGTTATAGACACTATATCCGAAGTGCTAATTAAAACATTTTAACAATTAATAAAAATAATAATAGCCTTAACAGACTAGTTAACTAAATAAGCATCCAAATGAGACAGAAGTTTCAGGACAGAACACAGATATAGGCTCCAGACAAGTTGTATCTGCTCCTGTTATAGAGAGCACAAGGACAAACCCACAAACTAGTTTTTGACAACAAATACAGAAATGTAATCCGTTAAAAAGTAATTACAGTTTTTTAAATATTTTGTAAGAATAGGATGAACGCAGAATTTGGTTGTGTTAGTATCGTCTCCTTAACTCTAGCTATAGTCGGTTAATTATTATTATAGTCGATTAATTATTATTACAGTCGACTATTTATTATTATAGTCGATTATTTATTATATTATAATCTATCTATATATCTATATAAAGCAATGTATGTTTGTGTGTGTGTGTGTGTGTGTCTGTTTGTCTGTTTGTTTGTCCTTTATGCATTACTACACCTCTCATTACATCGCCGTGAAACTTTGGGAAGTTGTTGAGAATATTCCTGGGGAGGTTTCTGCGAAAAAAAAAATTCAAATTCGCAGGGGTGGCGCCCCGGCAGGGCGCGATTTGTTTTTCTCTATATACGGTATATACAAATTAAAAGTAGATTTTTTATTTTGACACCATTCATCTGATCGCTATCAAACTTTGGTGAGTTCATTAGAACACTTTAAGGAAGGGTTCTGTACAAAAATCATTTTTAATTTCGCAAGGGCGGCGCCACTGGAGTCTGGAGGGTGCGATTTCTCTCTATATACCGTATATAAAAAGTGCATTGCCGTGACACTGTTCACACGATCGCCATGAAACTTTGGGAAGATGTTGAGAATATTCCTGAGCTGAGGAGGTTTCTGCGCTAAAAACATTTTCAAATTCGCAGGGGTGGCGCCCCGGTAGGGCGCGATTTGTTTTTTTTCTATATACGATATATAAAAATAAAAGTCGATTTTAGTTTGACAGCGTTCACCCGATAGCCATGAGACTTTAGGGAGTTGATTAGAACACTCTAGGGAAGTGTTCTGTTAAAAAAATAATTCTGAATTTCGCAAGGGCGGCGCCACGGGAGGGTGCGATTTTCCTCTATATACGGTATATAAAAATAATAAAAGTGAATTGCAGTGACACCGTTCATCCGATAGGCATGAAACTTTTGGGAGTTCATTATAAAACAACTCTAGGGAAGGGTTAAGTAAAAAATCATTTTTAATTTCGCTATGGGGCGTTACAAACGATTACTAAATTGAATCAGGCGTGTCATCTGGCGCACTGGTAGGGTGCGATTAGGCTGTAAATAAAAATGTCTGTTTCGACCCCCAAAGGCTCACATGGGCCGCTGAGGGCCAAGTAATACGTTTTATTTTAATAATCAGAAAAATTAACCAAGGTTAGATTATTAACTGGGATGTTTCTTTTTGTCCGTAAAAAAATCCAAACAGTTTCGTCACTTTGCGAATGATGCAATTAGTATCTATTTTTAGATAATCCAAACAGAAATTGAGATCGAGCATCTAAGAATAGACCATTAGTAACGCTAACATATTGCATCAGTCACACTGATGTTTAAAACGCGTGAAATAATTTTTTTACGTGTTAAATAACAAATCCTGTTCATTTGTGTCACTTTAGTGAATGACGCAATCTGCATCATTGTTAACAGGATGCTATTTTAATTAGCCAGGGGTCGTACGCCGAACTTATGCAGTAGTGTAATCGGGGGGGGGGGGGGGGGGGCGGGGGGCTCCTGAGAACGGGCCTCTACGTCTCTGACACATGGGCGGTCACCGAAGTTTGTTCGACCATATTATTTCGGTGAGTGATTAATGTACTCTCAAGGTTTTCATGCGGTAGTGTAGGTAAACCCGTGTCCCGATATTTATGATTCAAGCGCAGGCATTGTTTACATTTAAATAACACATTTTTAGAAAAGAAGGTCACGCGTCTAAGATTGGTAACGCGTTGGTGAAATTCTTCTAATATATTTCGTCAAACTTTCTTCTATCCCCGCGGCAACGCGCGGGGGGGGGGGGGGGGGGGCGGGTACGCTAGTTGTGTTATAATTTATAAAGACTAGATGGTTAAGAATACAACACTGGACCTTGGGTTAAGTTCTTTTTAGTCTAAAGCCGTCGATGTTATAAACAGTGATGTTTATAACCAGGGATGTTTAAAACCACTGATATTTTTTACCAGTGATGTTTATAACCAGTGATGTTTTAACCAGTGATGTTTATAATCAGTGATATTTATAACCAGTGATGTTTATAACCAGTGATGTTTATAAAAAGGATATTTATAACCAGTGATATTTATAACCAGTGATTTTTATAACCAGTGATGTTTATAACCAGTGATGCTTATATCCAATGATGTTTATAACCAGTGATGTTTATAACCAGTGATGTTTATATACCACAAGTTTCGGTGCATTGTTTGTTCAAAATGTCGGGCTAGTCGTAACTTTAAAAAAATGACCCAAAAGAAAAAAGGTTAAAATGTCCTGAAAAATGCAGGACTGACATTATTAATAGAAGCCGCCTCAGTCAGGAGAAATTATGAGTTGAGAAAGGGGTATAACCAGGCGGAATAGAAAATAATTAAAAACGCTTTAATTAAATTAATTTAAAAACGCACTTAAGGAAAGCAGTCTAAATTATAAAAAATTAATGTTGATGTATGTGAATTTGGGTGAGAACGAGGGGGAGGGGCTGAGTGGGCGGCTCAGCGTTTAGCTCGCCCCCGGGTAAAACCCACAAATGTATTTGTTTTGATTGTATATCTTAGATAAACATTTCATTGCAAATTTCTCACAACAGATACGCCAGCCGGGGAGGGGTGGCGGGGGATGGGCTGGTCTTAAACCGGAAGTTATTACTTGTCTTAATGTGGCACTTTGGGCACGCGCTTTCGTAGGAGTCATTGCCCTTGGCGTTTTACGAATGTGAGTTGAAATAATTTCGCGTCTGCAAAAGCTGATCTTTTAAGTAATTTCTTCCATTTGTTTTCTTATGGTAAACAGGTGCTAAAAAATTATCTTTTTATCTTTTTTTAAGTCTAGTCTAGGTCTAGATTTTAGATCTAGATCTAGAGATCTAGATCTAGACTAGTTAATTTAGTAAAATCTAGTTTTTTTTTGTTGTTGTTTTCATTTTCAGTCGAGTCACAATAGTTTTTAAAAAAAATCTGAAATAGTAGATCTGTAGTGCACTAATCTTAACTAAAACAAACCACACAACTTATTTTAATATGAGAAGTGGAGTTTGCTTAGTTAAGCTTAAGTTGATAGCAGAGAGAAAAGAGCGGAGCTAGAAACAGCGATAAAAGTATTAACGAGATCCTTGTGTACATACATTTTAGGCTGGCCAGATTAATTGGATTTCACTGAGGTCAAACTAAGCACAGCGTGGGGGTGACAAATAAAAATACGTTGGCAAACTTGGCTTGGTGTGGCTAACATTTCAACAGGCTAAACGGTTGTTTACGAATATCAAACGCTGAATAGTATAAAAAAGCAGATCGACTAATAGCCACCACATGAAATATAACAAAACAAAAATACTAAGCGATAATACATAATTAAATAAGTAATTTGTTTAAAATACAACTAACAACAGCTGAATAACAACCGTCCTGCTCTTTCTAACCAACTTGTGCAGTTTTCCAAGAAACAACCAACATTACTCAATGATTTATGTTAAAAAACGTAGAAGATTAAAGAAAACAATACTGAAATTAATTATTGGTTACTAATAATACCTAATGTAGGCTATAGGTGTATATTGTCTTAATGACAAAAAGACATCATCACTTTTAGTTTCTTTCCCACAACCAGAGGCGTAACGACCCTTCCCGGCGCCCGGGAACAAACTTTTGATTTGCACCCCCCCCCCCTCGAACTTTTGAACTTTTGATTTGCACCCCCCTCGAATTTTTCATTTGCACCCCCCCTTCCCCTCAAACTTTCAATTTGTTTTTCCAACCCATTTTGGCGCCCTCCCTAAGGTCGGCGCCCGGGGACATATGTTCCCCCCGCCCCCCGCCCCCTCACTACGCCTCTGCCCACAACCTTTAATGCACTTTTAATTCGAGCTGATCAAACAATTGAATTGGCTATTCCTTATCCACTTCCATTTCATCACTTTATTTAGTTCTCATACTGCCAATGTACCTATTTACCGTAGGAGAGATCACTCTAATTTTCTTTTATCTTTGACGCAACACTGATCCAAACACAATTGTTTTTTTTTAACTTCATTATTTCCTTGTGGTCGCCAACTTGTTCAAGATTTTTGTTTTAGTTTCGTCTGCCTGCAGGTTATAACTGTATTAAATCCCTGCCGAGTGCATGGTGACCACTGTAGTACTGCCCATGGGTCGGCAGTGATAACATGAGAACCATCGAACTGGTGGTTTGTGTTTGAGTCTTAGACAGACACATGGAACAGATGGTGGGAACCTAGTCATGTAGTTAAAGTTAGTGTTAATCCAGTTTTCGTCATTTAGGCTAATCCACTTTTCGTCATTTAGGCTAATCCACTTTTCGTCATTTAGGCTAATCCACTTTTCGTCATTTAGGCTAATCCAATTATCCTCATGATTAAATTTTTATTGAAGCAATCATTAGTCTACCATTAATTGAAATCGTCTTCATCAAAAGACATCAGGAACTTATATCACGTGATGGCCGGCCACCTGCGACAGGCATGCGCGCAGGGAATGTGTGAGTTAACCATTCATGCCCCACCCTGCTCTGAAATGTCCACGCCACTGTGTCAGACCAGGATAAAGATATTTAAACATTTAAAGATACCAAGTTCGTCGATCACGTCATCGTGTTTAATGATGAACTAGAATATATCGTTATAATCTATCGTGTTTAATGATCAACTAGATTATATCGTTATACTCCATCGTGTTTAATGATCAACTAGAA